GGCAGCTGCTTCTCACAGAAACCACCTGCAGCCGCCCCGCTGCCGAGGTCTTCACACCAACACCCAAGACACACCTTGGCCCAGTTCACACAGGAGTGTAATTACATGTATTTTACTGAGATTTCTTTTTCTTGACTCGATTTTATTCAATACTTCTGATTATTCAGGCCTCTTCACATACTGATCTGCAACGCTGCCATCTTTGGTGCTCCCTGGTGCTTGACAGAGGATGACCTGGAGTCCACCTTCCAGGTGAACCACTTGGGGCATTTCTATCTTGTCCGGCTTCTGGAAGACATTTTATGCCAGTCATCTCCTGCTAGGGTTGTGATGGTGTCCTCCGAATCACACAGGTTGGTGAACATTACCTTTGATTTAGCTAAAATCTTTAATCCTTAGAGCATAAAATAGTTATGGCGGAACTGCAAAAGTTTTTGAAAATGAAAGACCTTGCTCTAAAGCATTTGCTTTTGGATGATCTTTTTAAAAATAGAAGCATTACTAATGCCTGTGGATGTTACTGGATTTGGCTCTGTTGCTGGATAAAGTGTGTTCTAGTTTTATAACAACATGTAGGTGTTTTTTGATCATTCTTTGTATGAATGCAAATTTCCACTGCATTTCAGACCACTCATTGATTTTGCGAGGAGATGGAATAATAATTGATTAAATCTGAATGGCATGACCTATATTGATTTGTCATTCAACAACTTCAACATCTTACCAAGAAGAATGTGCAGTTATTTTAGCAGGAGAAACAATGCAATTAAAAACTGCTAGATGAAATCCAATTGTTTTATAATGAGAAATTAGGGAATTCAATGCAGACATTAGCTGTATAATTGTAAAATGGGAAGTAGTGTAGTTAATACATATTAAAAATCTGGCCATGACTCTTTTGGTGAATTTTTTAATTAAAATGTTAGATACTTGTCTTTCCTACTGCCAGGAGAAGTACAGTTGGCAAAAAAGACGTTGATGAAATTTGCTGTACTTCAGACATGCTTGTGGTGTTTGTGTTAATAACTGAAAAGATGGATTTGATTTAAAGTTCCTTGTGCAAAATGCATGCCCCAATTCTGAATTTCAGTGGGCACAAACCACTTACTGCCTTCTGATTTAGTTCAGGGACTGCAGGATTACACCTATAATGTCCAGCTTTAAACATTACTGTTGATTTCTATTTCACTTCTGGTTGTGTGTAATAGCTCTAGCAAACCAAAAGGAAGAATGTATGAGTGTCTTTCCCCTCCCCCCTCCTCCATATTTCTGAAATGTTTTAGTGACCCAGAATGAAGCTTATTTTTTTAATCGTGTTTCCATAAAATGTAACCCCAGGGACCTGGTAGAGAGAGACCAGCCAAGGGTCGGGCTGAAACCTTTATCACTTCCAAACACAGGGGCTTATGGTATAAATGACACACTGCAAATAGATTTACTTTTACGATTTTAAATTTATGATGGCTGAAATGAAAGGAAGCAATAGAAAATGCTAGTAATAATCCTCCCTGGCATTAAAAGACATGAAATGTCTAGTAATTAGGTGGTAACAAAATCTGGACATCCTTATCTTTGCAAATCACACCAGGTTTGTGAAAGCAAGTAGCAGAGTCCTGTTAGGAGTGAGGGAGGCTACTGCGGGGTAGGCAAGATAGCTCTAGAAATAAATCTGCCAACTCCAATCACTTGCCAGATGTGGAGGGCACAATGGGATATGTATAAATGAGCTGTTATTTAATGGGAGATTATGTTCAATTGTCAGCTGCTTGTTCCCCTTTGTAAGTTTGTATCTCTGATAGTAATTTAAATGACATCTTTGTTTTACGCTGTATTAAGTGGTATGTGTAACTAGAGCTCACATCTCTGGACATCTTTATCTGTGTTTTCGAAAATGTTTTTTAAAGTGCTTATTGCTAACTCAGTAAGATCAGCCAAGGTTTATAGAAGACCATCAAAAAATATGTTTGAATAAAATTAATAAACACAACTTGTAAATTTCCCTTTTTGCTAAGGGGTCCTATTCATGTATTATGGCATATCTCAACACTTAAACTAATTATTGTAAATAATTGCTTTTCCTCCCCCAAATGGTGAGAAGTTGATGTAAAGAGTTAGTTTAGACATTAGGTATTATTGGGTGGTAGTACCTTCTGACCTACTTGAGAACTCTGAGCCTTAAACTATGTTGTAAAACAGAAGTGTCGGTATCTAATTACTTCCATAAACCTTGGCCGGATCTTTTCACTGGAGTCAAGACCCCCTGTTAGGGGAAAAATAAAGTCCCGTGTTTGCAGAAAATATTATAGTAGACTGCTCCAAGGCAAAATATTTATTTGCCTCTCTGGTTCTTCATTCTCTAGTTACTTCTCTGGATTCAGCACAAATGAATTCTGTTTAAATTAAGCTTTTGGGTACTTTAAGCACATGATATTAAAATCAGAATAATAAGTAAGTTGACTTTCCTTCTGTCTTTATTTCTGTGTTGTTAATTTGATTGTACGGCCCTTATCCTACTGAATTCAGTGAGATTGCCAACGTAAGTAGGATTGACACATATAAGCACACTTGCAGGAGTGGACTCAAAATATGCCACCATGTTTCCGTTATGCAGTTTACACAAAGTATTTATTTATAGGTTATTTTTGCCGTCATAAATTATTACTTGAAGAATGAATATAGGAAATTCCTCCCAGAATAGTCCTGCTAATTTCAGAAATGTATTTTATATAACCAAAAATTATGAAAGAAAAATTTTGTTGTTGAAACTGAAGGGCTAATTCTGCAAGATACTGGATTCCTCTTGAGTTCAAATACTGTAGTTGCTTTTTTCTGAGTGTATTACAATTCTGCTCACAGAATGAATGTAGAAATTCCAGCTGCTGTCTTCATTTCTGGGCATGAGATGCAAAATTAGTAAAGATATTTTAAAATATTTTCCTAGTGTGTACTATGATTATGTTTATCTCTGTTCTCCCCAGCTGATTCTGAAAACTCTGTGTATTAAAAAAAGCTTGCTAAATCCTTTTTATTTTTGGTAGCTCTTCTGAATGAGACATAGATCTGTAACTAAATGCGGTATTATTTTCTAATATTAACGTATACCGGTAAATTGATAAATGAAACTGTACAAATTGGGGGGAAAATGCTGTATGGAAACTTCCTTTTCTTCATCTAAATGTCTTTAGAACATTCACTACTTTGTTATTAAAAAAAAAAAAAGGAAAGAAACAAACAGCTGGTGTTTAATGACTCTGTCAGACCCAATTAAAAAACATCAACTAGTTACTTTGATTTGTGTTCAGCCATGCCATGGGTATACTTAAAAACATTATACTCTGCCAGAACTCATTTTGGCTTTGTTTACATTTGTCTTTTAAACATATAAGACTATTGATGGCAAGTTACCAAGGTTATAACCCCTTTATATTCATCAATTTTTCATCTAAAAAAGAGTCTAAGAGGCAGTGAGACTCATCCGTAGTTACTTCAACAATTAAATGAAAGTGTGCAGTATGTGAACACTGGATGAAATAATCAGGGGAAGGGAAGAAGGGAAGATGAAAGGGTGCTGGTTTTCTGTGCTTCTAATGCAGAATTATTTTATCCTACATTGTTTCCTCCGAGTTGATTGTGCTTTCATGGATCTATGGCAAAATCATTTTGCATTTAAAATAAAGTGATTTGTCAGTTACATACGATGCCTTTAAATCCGTAAAGCCTTTTTTGACTGTTTTTTATTTATCATTTGCTTTTGCTAATTATTCAATAATTTTATTGCCATATTATATTGGAACTATTCCTTGAGTCTCAGGCAATTTCCAGTACATGCTTTCAACTGCTAAATAAGCTGTTGTTTTATGTTGGTTCTGGCCAAGTTCTACTCTGTTGTCTACATTTTATGTTGTTCTTAATGAGAGCGAAATTAAATCTGGGATATCTAAGGCATATTTACTGTTTTTTAGATTTACAGATATTAAAGACTCTTCTGGAAAACTCGATTTCAGCCTGCTTTCTCCATCTAAGAAAGAGTATTGGGCTATGTTGGCCTACAATCGTTCCAAGCTTTGCAATATACTGTTCTCCAACGAACTGAACCAACGCCTTTCTCCCCACGGGGTGACGTCTAATGCAGTCCATCCTGGAAATATGATTTACTCCTCCATTCATCGTAACTGGTGGGTGTATACCCTGCTGTTTACCTTGGCTCGACCTTTCACCAAATCCATGGTAAGTGAATGACTTACAGTATTTTACACATCTTCATTTTTCACATCAGAGGAGTAAGTTATAAAATCCAGATGTGTATGTATCTGCTTTGACCTATTGCCTTTTATAACTGTGACCCTGTTTATAATGACAAACATCATGCCAAGGTAGTGCTCTAGAAGAGGATTCTTCAACCATTTTAGATGAACTTGGTCAATCTTCAGTGAAGGTACCTTGTTAGGTGGAGTGCACGACTTCCTTGTTTGAATATATGATTTTCACTGTGATTAAGGTAGTTGTACATCTTAGGTGTGGGATAGTTTAGAGTTATTTCTGTGCTGAGTATATGTAAAACATAAAAAAAATTGCTTTGGTTTTTAAATGGAATATGTTTCACTGCATTTTTTAGGTAAACAGATGCCCTAGTTAGAAAAGATACTGCAGGCATTTATTAATGGCTGAGGGAAAGTGCTTTTAGTGGTAAAAGCACCTTCATTCATATTAAAAAAACCAAGCCAAACAACCCCTGAACGGTTTTCTTGATTCTTACAAAACACTGAAGGCAATGGGTGTTTTTCCTTTATCTCTATTGGACGTTGGACTGGGACCATGACATAATGATAGGCTACGCAGTTCCTTCATAGCCAACGTTATGAGAATTTGAAGCATCTCCAGCACTTGGAGGGGTTACTCTTATCCTTTGAACCTCTGACCCAGGTTATTTATAAGGAGTCCAAAGTCTTTTTCTAGGCAGAGGGTGACTTTTACTTCATTGAGAACTGGCGTCCTTTAACCTTATTGACTGTTTCTCATCCCTTATTCACTGACAAAGAAGGGTATAACCAAAAGGGGAGAAGGGAGAGGGAGTCTCCCTTGAATGTTTGCATTCAGGGAGATGAAAAGATTCATTCCCCTACAGAACTTTGTTCAAGCCCAAACCAGACCCCTTTTACAGAAGACTTCACAACTGACAAGAGTGGTTGTGGTGTAGCATAACTTCCTATCTCCCTGAGCTGGCAATACAGACCAAAATAATTGGTTTTATTTGAAAAAGAGCAGAGAAGGAATTGTTGAGGCAGAGGGATCCATTCTTAAGTAGCTTAATCTACCACATAACCTATAGTAGCTGAGAAAATCAGTGCTGGACTTGTATGTATAGCTGCACAAAAAAGTTTCCTTGTACATTTCATTATCATTGAGGTAATGAAATTAATTTTAATTTATGCTGGGTTAATGTAAGTGGAAAACATATCTTACAGGTGGTGTGGTTTAACCCAGCAGGGAGCTAAACACCACACAGCTGATCACTCACTCCCCTCCCTTCAGTGGGATAGGGGAGAGAATTGGGGGAAAAAAAGTAAAATTTGTCGGTTGAGATAAAGACAGGTTAATAGGACAGAAAAGGAAGGGAAAATAATAATAATAATGGTAAATGAATATACAAAATGAGTGATGCACAATACAATTGCTCACCACCCGCCAACTGATGCCCAGCCAGTTCCCAAGCAACGGCCCCCAGCCAGCTTTCCCCTAGTTTATATATACTGAGCATGACGTCATATGGTATGGAATATCCATCCCTTTGGCCAGCTGGGGTCAGCTGTCCTGGCTGTGCCCCCTCTCAGCCTCTTGTGCCCCCCCCAGCCCCCTTGTTGGCAGGGCAGTATGAGAAGCTGAAAAGTCCTTGATTTAGTGTAAACACTGCTTAGCAACAACTAAAGCATCAGTGTGTTATCAACATTATTGTCATCCTAAATCCACTTTACCAGCTACTAGGAAGAAAATAAACTCCATCCCAGCTAAAAACAGGACATAGTTTTTAAAACTGTGCTTACATATTCAAAAAAGAACCGCTTCTTGAACAATACTGGATCTTCAGTAAGACTCATGGAGCAAAAATACAAACACTCTAGCATGGTGCACTGACAATATGTCAGTTGGGAGAGTCTTCACACCTCTAACCTCTGCCTGCAGTTTGCAGTCTGTACATATGCAAAACCTATTTATGTCCATGAGATTGATAAGTGAGCTTTCTGGCACCTTGGGGCAAGTAATACATGTTTTTTGACCAGGACCCTTAAAACCATGTCTCTGCTGTGTTAGGGATAGTTTGTGAAACAAATCCTTGAAGTTCTCCTGAGAATGGATAAATGAATGTTATCAACATCCTGTGAAAAGGATCCAGTCTGTGGAACTTTTATGAATTGTTAATTTTATTTGCTCTGACATATTTTCACAGAGGCAGCTTTTGTGTTTGTTGCTCAGATAATCTCATCTAAGGAACAAAAAGCACTGAGGTTAATTTTGAATTCTTTAAAACAATTGATAGGGTGCTAGGTTTACAGTATGTATTTATTTGTGAGTGGTACATAAAAGAGAATACAAAAAATACCAGCACTGAACGATAGTGCACTCTAGTCCAAGACCAGTCACTTCAGTAAGTCCTTCATGTTTGTAGTGTGCGTTGAGGGTAAGCATCAGTTTTATAACTCATATCCTGATGTGAACTGTTACGTTCCCCTGAACCTTATCAATGTTTCGACTGCCAATAAAACTAGAAAAGTGCCCCTTTCTGGGTATGCAAACAAGCTGAGCTGAAATTCTCAACATTATCAGTGAAAAAGTTTTTCTATTTTCAGATTTGTAGGAAGCAAACAATTTGATGCTTCTCCTGGTTTAGGGATTGTGCTGTCACCAACCTGGAATAGACTTTGTTGAGGATCTTTTTGTGGACTTCCCTCAATATTGCTGTGGCAGCTCACCCCAGAGTTTAGATGAGAGTTTTGGTCAGAATACTGTGTGTGTAAACTTCAAACATAAAGCCGCAGTCCCAAGGTTGTGAACTGTACGTTCCTGTGTTTTGCAAGGATGTCTGCATTGCACAATGCAGCATGATGCAGCAGCTTTAACGTAGTTACAGCTGAGCTGGGTCCATAGCTGGAATTGAGGGATCCATGTCAAGGATGTGTGGAGCGAGGTAAGGTTTATCAGTGTAGGCGTGGTGCCATGCAGATACACCTGTACCAGTTTTGATCCCTGAGGCAGTAGCTTTAGCTGCTGCAGCACTGTGGTACGTGGAGAGCCTAATGCTTCTGAGCCGGTTTGAAGCTCTGTGCTACATTTTGAACTGTAGAGGGTCCTGGCATCTGTATGTATATATGCACATATATGCATATATATTTGCACACACACACAGACTGCATCTGCACATACCTGATTCTAACTGGGGCCTTTTTGTATTATGGTGGTAAAAGCTGTTAATAAAAAATAATTACATCTTTACTTTGTATTTCACAGATAGACTTACTAGATGTTCTGAGTGGTGGCTAGCTCAGAATAACACATAGAGTTTCAGCTCTTTCGGAAACCTTGAAGCTAGATGCTGAAGACAATTAGAAAATACATTTGTTTGCCTACTAGATTTTTCCAGAACAATGTAATTCTTACGTTTTGTCCTGGCTGCAAGTTGCTACTGAGAAATTAGTCTTTACGCCTTCGATTTAGTTGTCATCATTTTCTGTGGTACTTACAAAATAATTTATTCAATGTTTACTTACTAGAAATCATAACGGTTTAGTAATTACTTTGTTCGTTTCCAACAATGAAGAAATATATATTGTGTACCTGAAATACATATTTTTTAATGTAGTTGTTCAGTTCTTGAATGTTGAATAGCTCCACTTTGGTTGATGAGATTGTGTTATTTTCTTCAGAAATGCATGCTGTTACACACTGTAATTGCCATTTTGGGGAGAGGTCATGCAGCCTCTGGCGCATGACACTTGGGATATTCAGCACAACATAATTTAGCTTAGGAAACACTGCTGGTAGCTGTTCAGTTTTAGTTGATTCCCTGAAGCACTGAGAATCAGTATTCTAATATCACACTCTTATTTACCTGTTTGCTGTTATTTGCTGTGACTATGGTGACTTAATTTTGGTAATTAGGACACTTTATGCAGTCAGGCTATTTTAAGTTTCTGCTTAAAGAAAAGGTTTGCAGATCACTTAGAATGTGGTTTTCCTGAAAGAACAAACATACTTAGGTAGGGTTTGTCTGTGTTTCAAGTGTGAGGCATAATTTGAGTTGCTTCTGTAAGTGGTCATACCTTACTGCAAGAAGAAAAGCAACTTCATGTTTTTCCAAACCTGTTTTATGAGTGACCACAGCATAAAAATTGTGGTATGTTTGTGCTCGTTATAGTGAACTCTTCTGTTGAATCACAGAGAGCTGACTGGTCAATTTTTGAAACAACACAATATTTAAATCACTGATGGTTATAAGTGTACAGGAAGTACTTTTGTTAAGTAAAGCACTGGAAACTGAAAGACTATTCATTTTTTTTCCACCCACCTCTTTTCAAGATCTAAAATCTGCAAGGATTTGGTAGACAGAAATGGATAACAAGTACTTTTTTGTAGAAAGCAATAGTTGCCAATAAATTACCATTTTGTTATTGTAGTAACTGTAGCTCTACTAATGTTCAAAGTGCCTCTCTTTTACTTACCACTATATAGTTACTCAGTAAATCGGAGGCGCTTATGGTATAATTAAATGTAAATTGAAACAAGCGGCCACTGTAAATAACAGATTGGACAAGAAGCTCTGAAAGTAACAGCATAGGCCATGCATATGCTTAGCTGGTGTGATCTAACGCTTTAGGGTTTTGCTTCCTTGGGCTTTTTTCCTACTTCCCCCACCCCCTCCTTTTGCTTTCTTTTTCTCCTTCTCACTCTTTCTTGCTCTTGTTTTCTCTCTCCTCTTGAAAGTTGGCTGAAGAGCAGTTTGACTAAGTTGTTTCTTTTGTTTTAAATTAATGCTAGTCACTCAGAACCCATATCATTTGTTTCTGTTTACATACAAGATTAAAATGAAATACATTTATTGTAAGATTTGAGCTTACACTGAGTATGTTATCTAGTGTCACCCCCAGGTGATTTTGTTAGTGTACAATGGCATATAAAATTAGAAGCAGAGTGCCATTATCACACACTTGTGATAGTCTTACATAGAACCAAAT